AGGATACAAATACTGGAACCCTCTTGTGATTTTGTGGGGGGCCTCGTCCGGCCGCTCGCTGGGAGTTTGACGTAGCTTCTCGGGAGCCTCTGAACCTGTCGGGGGCCTCCTGGAAGCAGGTTCGAAGCATTTTGGGGGCCGATTTGGGGCTTCTCGGGGCCTCCTTTGGGCCTCTTGGGGGTCTCCTGGGGCCTCTTGAGGGGCCTCCTTGGGGCCTCCTGGCGGCCTCTTGGGGCGGAAGGCTCGAGCTTGCGGTTCGTGGTCCCCCTCTGGGCCCCCTCTTGGGCCCGTCTTGGGGCCCTCTTGGGCCATCTTGGGCGCCTCTTGGGCCGTCTTGGGGCCCTCTTGGGCTGTCCTGGGGCCCTCTTGGAAGCTTCTTGGGCCGTCTTGGGGCGGTCTTGGAGGCCTCTTGGGCCGTCTTGGACGCGGTGAAAGCCCAAGATGCGAACATGCGAAAAATATACGTTTTCCCATAGGAATGGCACGATTTTTGTTTCTTGGACCTCTCTTGGGGTGCCTCTCGGAACGTCTTGGGCTGATTTTGGAAGCCTTTTGGCGCCTCTGGGCGGCGTTTTGGCGCCTCCTGGGATATGTTGGGCCGGAAGCTCGGAATTCGAGAGTGGCTTTCTCCTTCTGGGACCCCTCTCGAAGTCGTCTTGGGGTTCTCTTGGGCCGTCTTGGGGCCGTCCTGAGCCACTCGTGCGCAGCCTTGGAGCGCTCCCGGAGGCCTCCTAGGCCGTCTTGGAGGCCTCTTGGGCCGTCTTGGACGCGGTGAAAGCCCAAGATGCGAACATGCGAAAAATATACGTTTTCCCATAGGAATGGCACGATTTTTGTTTCTTGGACCTCTCTTGGGGTGCCTCTCGGAACGTCTTGGGGTGCTTTTGGGAGCCTTTTGGCGCCTCTTGGCGGCATTTTGGCGCCTCCTGGAGCCTCTTGGGCCGGAAGCTCGGAATTCGAGGTTGGCTTTCTCCGTCTGGGACCCCTCTCGAACTCGTCTTGGGGCACTCTTCGGCCGTCTTGGGGCCGTCCTGGGCCACTCGTGCGCAGCCTTGGAGCGCTCCCAGAGGCCTCGTCGACCGTCTTGGGCGCCTCTTGGGCCGCCTTGGACGCGGCGAAAGCCCAACAGGCGAACATGCGAAAAATATACGTTTTCCCATAGGAATGGCACGATTTTTGCTTCTTGGGCCTCTCTTGGGCTGCCTCTCGGAGCGTCTTGGAGGCTTCTGGGACCTTCTTGGTGTCATGACAGGCGTCTTGGAAGGCATCCGGAGCCATCGGAGCGCGTTCCGAAGCCGCCTGCGAACGATCTTGGACGGCGTCCGGCGGTCCGACGAGCCTCCGGGCCCCCCGGGGCCCACATTTGTGGTCGAGGTCCCGGCCCCGGGCCCCCGGACCCGGTGCGCCGTTATATGTATATCTGTATGATGTTATGATGGTTATGCCGTGTGCATCTGTATGACGACGAGAGAGAGAGAGAGAGAGAGAGAGCAAACAAAAAGAGAAGGGTGAGGCGTGTGTGTGTGTGTGTGTGTGTGTGTGTGCGTGTGTGTGTGTGAGTCTTCGTGAGACGCGGGTGCGACGCGGGTGGGAAGAAAACAATACCCCACGAAACATGTGGGGAGCAAGGCATTGGATGTCTAGGACCGGCGCGAGCGACAGGGGGGGAAGGCAGCAGAGGTCGGGGTTGGCGACTCCGCTCGGTGTGGCCGGCTCTCCCGCAGATTCCCAGCGCCGCGTGCGTCCGCGTGTCGAGGGAGTGCGCGGCGGCGGGGCCGTAGCCAGCCGAGCGACGACAGGAAAGGGCGCCATGGTTGGTCGGTTGGGAACTGCATCTCGAATGAGTTGGGGAAGAACCCCCTCAGGGGCGTCAATGGAGGGGGGAGGGGGAGGGGACGGGGACGGGAGCGGGGGCATGACGTAACTCCCCCCCTTCCGCCGCGAGAGTTCGGCACCACAAGCTGTCGTGCCAGACGCACTGCGGCAGTGCTGGGGGCACACTTGGGGAGGAGGAGGAGCGCTACGTTGGCCCAAAGGGTAAGAATTATCCCGGCAAAGCAACCTAACAGCGATGTGTAGGAGCATATCTGGAAGCATTCCCCTCAAGATTCAGATGAGAATCCTGTTGTAGAATTCTGCTGTTCTCGCAGTCGTGGTCGCATTCGCGATGGCAGTCGCAGTGGCAACGGCAGTCGCAGTCACAGCCTCAGCCTCAGCCTGCCTCAGCCTCAGCCTCAGCCTGCCTCAGCCTCAGCCTGCCTCAGCCTCAGCCTCAGCCTGCTTCAGCCTCAGCATCAGTCTGCCTTCAGCCTCGGCCTCAGCCCTGCCTCAGCCTCAGCCTCAGCCTGCCTCAGCCTCAGCCTGCCTCAGCATCAGCCTGCCTCAGCCTCAGCCTCAGCCTGCCTCAGCCTCAGCCTCAGCCTCAGCCTGCTTCAGCCTCAGCCTCAGTCTGCCTTCAGCCTCGGCCTCAGCCTCAGCCTGCCTCAGCCTCAGCCTGCATCAGCCTCAGCCTCAGCCTCAGCCTGCCTCAGCATCAGCCTGCCTCAGCCTCAGCCTGCCTCTGCCTCAGCCTCAGCCTGCTGCAGCCTCAGCCTCGTCAGCCTCAGCCTCAGCTCTCTTCAGCCTCAGGCCTCAGCCTCAGCCTGCCTCAGCCTCAGCCTGCATCAGCCTCAGCCTCAGCCTCAGCCTGCCTCAGCTCAGCCTCCTCAGCATCAGCCTGCCTCAGCCTCAGCCTCAGCCTGCCTCAGCCTCAGCCTCAGCCTCAGCCTCAGCTTCAGCCTCAGCCTCAGTCTGCCTTCAGCCTTGGCCTCAGCCTCAGCCTGCCTCAGCCTCAGCCTGCATCAGCCTCAGCCTCAGCCTCAGCCTGCCTCCAGCCTCATCCTCAGCCTCAGCCTCAGCCTGCAGCCTCAGCCTGCCTCAGCCTCAGCCTGCCTCAGGCCTCAGCCTCAGCCTGCCTCAGCCTCAGCCTCAGCCTGCGTCAGCCTCAGCCTCAGTCTGACTTCAGCCTCGGCCTCAGCTCAGGCTGCCCAGCCTCAGCCTGCATCAGCCTCAGCCTCAGCCTCAGCCTGCCTCAGCATCCGCCTGCCTCAGCCTCAGCCTCAGCCTGCCTCTGCCTCAGCCTCAGCCTGCTTCAGCCTCAGCCTCAATCTGCCGTCGGCCTCGGCCTCAGCCTCAGCCTGCTCAGCCTCAGCCTGCATCAGCCTCAGCCTCAGCCTCAGCCTGCCTCAGCATCAGCCTGCCTCAGCCTCAGCCTCAGCCTGCCTCAGCCTCAGCCTCAGCCTGCTTCAGCCTCAGCCTCAGTCTGCCTTCAGCCTCGGCCTCAGCTTCAGCCTGCCCCAGCCTCAGCCTGCATCAGCCTCAGCCTCAGCCTCAGCCTGCCTCAGCATCAGCCTGCTTCAGCCTCAGCCTCAGCCTGCCTCAGCCTCAGCCTCAGTCTGCTTCAGCCTCAGCCTCAGTCTGCCTTCAGCCTCGGCCTCAGCCTCAGCCTGCCTCAGCCTCAGCCTGCATCAGCCTCAGCCTCAGCCTCAGCCTGCCTCAGCATCAGCCTGCCTCAGCATTCAAAATTGTGGGACGGGGACTGGAGTTCTGGAACTCGAAGACCACCAGAAGTGGCCTACCAGTTGGCTCGCAGCACAAAATCATGCCCGGGAATGGAGTTCTGGGAACTCGAAGAACACGAAGTGGCCTACAGTTGGCTCCGGGCATTCAAAATCATGCCCAGGAATGGAGTTCTGGGAACTCGAAGACCACGAAGTGGCCTACAGTTGGCTCCGGGCATCCAAAATGTACGCCGGGAATGGAGTTCTGGGAACTCGAAGACCACGAAGTGGCCTACAGTTGGCTCCGGGCATTCAGAATGTGGCCCGGGAATGGAGTTCTGGGACCTCGAAGACCACGAAGTGGCCTACAGTTGGCTGAACAGAATCCCCGACACCTCCCCTGGATCGCGCCAAGACCCCCCTGGGGCGTCATGATGCTCTCTTTTGACCCTACTAGAAACCTATCAGTCTTCGCTGTTAGGTAAAAACACTCTCGAGATGGCATGGCGGCCTTACGCGGCGGCTTACGCGGGCCGCCAGCGCGGCATGCCACACCAGAAACGAGGGCGGTAACGCGCGACCCTACGCGGGACTCTTGTGCGCCAACGTCGGTGCAGACGACCCCGCTGGTCTGCGTCGCTTAGCTGCACGCAGCAGAGCTGCCAGTCCCCCCTTCCCACCGTCCCCCCATCCCATCTTGTCCGCCCTGACGGCAGCTCCGTCCACCGTCCCAGCCTTCCTCCGTGACAAGCGACGGCGTTTGAGTACGGCAACTGCGCCCAACACCAGCGAACCAGCAGGCCGCGTGTGTACACCCGTGCCGGGCTGGTTGAACACAGACCCATGCAGTATATTCAAACAATTCACCTTACAAACCTTGTCGTCCTACCACTGTGCAGTAGACTACCACAGGCGCAAATCACATCAGCGCCAGGCCATTTGCACGGGCGGAGACAAGGGAAATGAGAGACGGGGAGTAGAGATGGGGGTGAGGAGGGGGGAGGCGGGAAGAGGGTCGTCTCCATTCCCTCATCCGTCCACTCCCTCCCTCCCTCGCCTCCCCCCACTGCCTCCCTCCGCTCCATCCGTTTCCAAACGAGCGGTTCTAGACCCCCCTGGGCACGTTGGCGTTGACCTTTCCTGGGGCCGCCGCGGCCACCAGCGGCCCGCTGGCAGCAGGTGGAGGGAGAGAGGAACGAGAGAATGAAGGAGGGGGGGAGGAGGCCGCTGCGCCGTTGCCTCGCCGCCGTTGCACCCCTCCCCCGTTCCCTCCCGCGAGGGGGGAGGGGGGGGAGGAGGAGCGAGGGAAGGCAAGCAACGAGGAGGGAAGGAGAGGGGAAGAGGCCGCTGCGCCGCTGCCTCGCTGCACGCTGCCTGCCGCATCCCCTCCCGAGGGCGCCCCCTCACGCGCTCGGGGCGCTCTGGCCGCCGCGCGACCCCTCGCCCCGGCGGGCCGGGCGCCTCTTGCCCTCCTCCCTCTCGATTATCTTCTGCGCTTCCGCCTTGGCTCTCAGGACCTCCTCCCTCCAGGGCGTGTTGGGCGGGGGCGCGTTGTTGAACCTCGCCCGGGGGGGGAGGGAGGAAGGCAGCAGGCGGGCGGGGGGGAGAGGGGGAGGGAGGCTTTGGTCGACCCAAAACGGGGTTCAGCTGAAACGGGGGTGGTGCAAAAGATTTGGGGCAACTGGATTGTAAATGCAAATGTATTGCGCTGGAGACTTGTATTGCATTGTATTGCAGCTAATGTGTTGCACGCGAGATCCCAGCAATACATCTGCGCACTGGAATGTATTGTATGCCCCAGATCTATTGCAACGCCACAAATCTATTACACCAAATCTATCGGGACCCTCGGCGTCGCATCACCGGCCGCTCCCTGGGAGTTTGTCGCATCTTGTCGGAAGTCTCTTGGAGGCAATTTTGTGAAGCCTCTTTGGAGGCTCTTGGGCGCAGTTTGGAGGCCTCTTGGGCTTCTGTTGGGCCTTTCGGGGGCTTCTTGGAGGCCTGCTGGCGGTCTGGGAGGTTCCGCTTGGGCAGAAAACTGGGAATGACATTTCGGCGCGTCTTGGGCCGTCTTGGGACCGTCTTGGCACGTCTTGGGGCCCTCTGCGGGGTCTTTGGCGCGATCTTGGGACGATCTCTTGGGGGCTTGTAGGCTCATCGTGGACACTGTGAGGGCCCAAAAGTCGCACACACGTATTTTGATTCGTGGGGCCGTCTTGGAAAGCATCTGGAGGCTCTCCTCTGGCGTCTTCGGGGCTTTGCACCACACCCTTGTCGCTGGACCCCGTCTTGGGTCAACCATAGAGGTGCAGGAGGGGCACCGGCTGCAGGGGGGGGGCCAGCGGAGGTCGGGGGAGAAAAACGGGTGGCGCAGCTCACCGGGGGGGCCTTTTAGAAAAGAAGGAGGGGCGCTAGCTGAGCCACCCGTTCCCAGGCAAGCCACGTGAACGAAGGCACCACAGACCACGAGCGGGCACCGATCCTGGCTGGGCCGCTCCTGGAGGAGGTGTAGGAGGAGAAGGAGCAGGAGGAGGAGGAGGCGGCGGAGGAGGAGGAGGAGGAGGAGGGGGAGGAGGAGGAGGAGGAGGAGGAGGAGGAGGAGGGAGGAGGAGAAGGAGGAGGAGGAGGAGGGGAGGAGGGGGGAGGAGGAGGAGGAGGCGGAGGGACAGGAAAAGGAGGAGGCGGAGGATGAGGAGGAGGAGGTGGAGGAGGAGGAAGCGGAGGCGGAGGAGGAGGAGGAGGAGGAGGAGGAGGGGGAGGAGGACACGGAGGAAGAGAAGGAGATTACCAGGAGATTACCACTGAGGACCAGTGTCCTTGCTACAACAGAAGATGTGCACCCACATCACAGAAGAGAACGGGCCACTTCAGGCGCCCCCTGGGGGCACGGGTGCAGGCCCTTGGAAATTCGCACGAGGTTACACTGACCCTTCTTGGACCGCGCCGCACCCGTGGCGGCGGGCCCACAAGGCCGCGAGAGGTGGCGACCGTCGAGGGTCGCAGTGAAACCACATAACATACAAAATTTTAAACTCATGTGATCCCAGGACCAAATCTGATGTCCGGGGTCAACCTTTCGGCCCCCCACCCACACCGTCCCCGACTCCCGCCGAATGGTGACCCCAGACATGTTGGGGGTGGTGGCAGAGGAGGAGGAGATGGGAGGGGGGCGGCACGGCGCGGAGGAGGAGGAGGAGGAGGAGGAGGAGGAGGAGGAGGAGGAGGAGGAGCGATTTCAGCGACTTCGCATCTCGTTCGGTGCGAGGTGCGCGGCTGCGTCCCCGCCACCGCCGCGCGCGCCGCACTCTCCGCGGCGGCTTGCACTCCGGAGGTCGCGGCCCTGGGGCCCACCTCCTCTCCACTCGCGTCGTGCGGAGGCGAGTGGAGTGGAGCACAGGAGGAGGAGGAGGAGGAGGAGGAGGAGGACGAGGAGGAGGAGGAGGAGGAGGAGGAGGCGAAGGAGGAGGAGGAGGCGGAGGAGAAGGAGGAGGAGGAAGTGGATGTGGAGGAGGAGGAGGAGGAGGAGGAGGAGGAGGAGGGAGGAGGAGGAGGAGGAGGAGGAGGAGGAGGAGGAGGAGGGGAGGGGGGGGGGCACTGAGGGAAAAGGAGAAGCAGGCAGAGCGGGCGGCACCAGCCTCTCCGCACGAGCCTCTTGCGCCCTGGGTGGTGGGCCCACATAGCCACCGGCCACCGGGGGGCTGGCCACGGCGCGGCGCCCGCCCGCGAGGGAGTGGCTCGCTGTGCGCGCGGCGAGCGCGCCGCCACGGAGGCCGCGGAGTGAGGGAGACAGGCTCGCCGCTGGCCTCGGCGCGAGGCCTCGAGGCCGCCTCGCGGGAGGAGAAGGACATGGGGAGCGGAGGGGGAGCGGGGGCGGGCCGGGGGAAGGGGGGGGTGGAGGCCATGGAGGGAGAGAGGGAGGCCGGGGGCCGGCCCCGTCCAGGGGCGGGGCCTCCACAGGTGGTCGACGGGTGAACGCGAGGCCTCAGGAGAGAAGGACGACGGGCGGGGAAGCGGGCAGGGTTCTGCTGCACTCTGCTGCAGAGCCCCCATGTGGGGCCACGTCGCGGGCAGTCGCTGTCGCCGCTGCCATCGCTAGTTGTCCGCCAGTGCAAGGCCGCTGTCACCGCCGTTGCCAGATCTCGACTCGGCACGGAGGGGGAAAACGGAGGGGAGGAGGGGGCGGCCGAAGGAAGAGGAGACCAGGGGCGGGGCCTCCACAGCTGGTTGACCAGCGAAAGCGAAGCCTCGAGGGAGGAGGGGAGGGACGGGGAAGGCGGGGGGGGGAAAGGGCGCAGCCGGCGCAGGGGCGCTACTTCGACCCCGTCGACTCGAGTCGATTCGACTTCGACGATCTCGAGGGGGGTGGGGGGGCCGAGGGAAGCGGGAGGCGTAGGCCATGGAGGCTAGGGAGGGAGGCTCGTCGGGGCCCGCTCCGTCCAGGGGCGGGGCCCCTCGGGTGGCCGGCGAGCGCGAGCGAGGCCTCGGGGCTCTGTTTTGGCACCCACGGGGCAGCTGCTCGGAGGCACTCGGGGGTGGTTGTGAGGCCACCTGACGACACGATAGGTAGTGGAAACAAATTGCATAAACATAACAACTCGGAGGTCCGCGCGGATTTCCGAGTTGTTATGTTTATGTCATGTCACTTATTGTTCCCCTAATAAGGGCCTTGTCCTCGTCATCGTCGCATCGTCGCATCGTCTCGTCGTCATCGTCCTCATCCATTCGAACAGCTGTCACCGAGACGGCCGGACTGGCACGGTGGCGGGACTTGGCCTCCTGCGGACACGGCAGGGAGATTTACTCCGCTGCGGAGCCAGACAGCGACAGGGATAGCTCCCCACCTGCACTGAGTAGCGAGGCCCAGAGGGAGGACGGGGGGTGACGCGGAGGGGGACGGGTGTGCGAGCCGAGGGAGAGGGAGGCGGCGGGAGAGGGCACCCGCACATGCAGATGCCAGTTTGGGTCACTACACCGAGTTCGGAAGGCCATCAAATGCAGCCTGGACTTGGCGTTACCGCTGGACACTCGACGAGCCCTCGAAGCCCTCGCCCTCCCCCCCAGCTCGGGTGGCTCCAGTCGTGGTCCTCAGGCAGCGGGGGACCAACCAGGGTGGAGAATCTGAGCTGCTGCCGATCGCGTACCTTCGCCAACTTCTTATCCCTGTCCAGTTGCTCGACACGCCCTCCAAGCTCTCGCCCTCCCCCCCCAGTCCTGGGTAGCCACCCCGAGTCAAATACACAAAACCGAAGGCTGGGCCGCCCGCCTGTCCCCGCTCCCGTCGGGGCCCCAACCACCGGGCCAGCACGCGCGCGACCTGCAACGGACTCGTGCGAGGGGGAGCTTGGCACGCGTGTGACTTGACATGGATTCACGCAGAGAGGGACCCCCTCGCCCCGACAGACAGGAAGCAGGAGACGTCTGACAGTGGTCAACCCTCCGCGACAAAATCAGAGCGACACGCTGCCTCCTGCACGATCCCTGCGAGCCCCCCTGGTACGCTGCTTCTCCCTGCGGGCGGCCGTCGGGGGCGTCCAAGAGGAAGCGTCCACGAGGGGGGTTCGCAAGTCGTGGCCCGAGGCACTTGCGCGGCCACGGGGAGGAGGCCAGCGGACGCGCTGAAACAAGAGGACGAGGCCACGACCCCCGGGCAGACATCATGGCCCCGACCGTGATAACCCCCCCCCTCTAGCAGAGCCAGGCAGGGTGCTCTGCGCGGCCTCCCCGGGAGGGTGCTCTGCGCGGCCTCCCCGGACGGTGCGGCACCCGCCGAGGGCGGCGCGGTCTTCCGCTACCCCGCTCCTGGTCCTCGGAGCGTGTCTTACGTGCACGGTCGGGAACTTTGGCTTAGCGTGACGGCCCTGGGGCCCGGCGAGGGCTCCTCCAAGGCCGGACACGGCCCACACCTCCGTCGCGCTCGCAGGCTCACGACGCGACTATGTCTGGGGCGGCCCCGCGTGGGCACCCGGCCCGTGCATCTGCGACCGCCGCGGCCTCCAGCAGCTTGGGCTTGGGCTTGGGCGCCCGGCCTCCACGACCCGCAGACAGCCAAGCCGACCCCCTGCGAGCCTCCCGACACGCTGCGGCCCTCCACCAGCGACGCACGCAGGAGTTGAAGGGGAGCGCAGTGCACGGCCCGAGGCCTGGCCCGTGCTGGGCCTCGGAGCGGCGAACGTGCATCCCTGGCCAAGCCAGGACGGCGTGTGCATCGCTCCTCGGCCCAGGATGGGCCGGGCCCGGGCCGTGGATGTGGGCCCCGCCGCCCTATACTAGGAGCGGCCCCGGGCAGGCGTGACTTCTGCTGCCCAGCTCGCCGACCGTTGCGCGCAGTGGCGGCAGTCGCGGCCTGCCTGCTTGGGCTGGGCCCCCTCGCGCCCCCCACGAGCCGCGTACCCCAGGCTGGTGCTGCGAAGGGTCGCTGAGGGGCCCCCCGCGGCGAAAGATGGCGCTCAAAACCACGGAGCCGTGGCCACCGCTCGCGCTCCCGTGAGTGCGCTCAGTGCAGGGCAAGTCCCTTCGAGCGAGAAGCGGTGCGCTTCCGGTTGCCTTCCGCTCTGGGCTTCCTCTCTAGACTCGGGGTCTGATCTCTCGGCGCCCCTCTGACGGGGACTCCACTAACGGGTACTTTGGCCAATGACCCGGCGAACCCGATCCTCCCCGATGTGGGCAACGCTGCAATGCCGGGAAGAGGCCCTAAAAGGCAACTTTCGGCAATTGTCCAAAGTACCCGCTAGTGAGTACCCGTGAAACGGTGCCGCTGAATCTCTCCACCTCGTGAGGGCCCGGGCGTGGGCGACCGCCGCGGCCCCCGCGAGCCTGGCACGGGCGCCCGGGAGAGCCACGCCGCCCCCCTGCCACCCCCCCGACGCACGCTGCTGCCCCCCCGCGCGGGGGGCCCGGGCCCGGGCGCCTGGCCTGTGCATCTGCGACCGCCGCGGCCCCTGCGAGCCGGGGATGGGCGCCGAGCGCTCGAAGCCGCTCATCGCGCCGAGGCGGGAGGCCGAGCAGCCGCGCGCACTGCAGCCGCGCGCACTGCGCGCGGCTGCGCCGGCCGGGCCCCGCGCCCTCGGCGCGCCCCTCCGCGGCCGAGGAGGGCCCGCTGCCGGGCGGAGGGCTCGGCCCGCCACGGCTGCGGGACGCGCGCCCAGGTCCCGGGACTGCCTCCTCGTCCTTCGGCTGCACGCAAGAGTGGCCCTGGGCAAGATCGACCCTTGGTCTCCCTGGCCGCGCGGGCCATGGGGGCGCCAGGTGGCCGAATCCAGGCGCGCAAGCAGCTGCTCTCGCACCGCGCTCAACGATCGGGGGGACCCCGATGAGCCCGCACCGAAAGTCACTCCAGCGAAGGGTCCCTCGTACGTCTAGTCGAGTCCTTCCCTGAGATGCTGGCCTAGCACTTTGTTGCACGGGTGGCGTGTTCGCCCGGTTTCGGGTCCTGGGGCCCTTACGGATCGATCTGGATCGAGAGAGGGCACAGCAATTGGGCCAATTGTTTGTTTTTGTTACGGTTCTGCATGTATTTTGCAGCTTGGCGGCGCGACAGGGAGGGGCTTCCAACTCCAAGAAGGAAGTGGGGCTTCTAAGTAGGCAGGGGCTCGTGAGGCCCTGGGGGCCTCTAAGAAGGCTTCTCCCAAGTCGGGCGGGCTTCTAAGAAGCCTCCCTGCATTCTGAAAAGCCACTTCGCCTTCTCAAAAGTCCACCGCTCTCGCGCCACCCCCTTGTCGGGCGCCGTCAACGTCTGCCTCCGATGCAGCGATCGTGCGACGGAACTTTGCCTGGAACAAAATCGGACCAGGACACAGCGATCGCGAGACGGAACTTTGCCTGGAACAAAATCGGACCAGGACAAATCGGACATCTCTGAGTTCTGGCGATTCTGGAGGATGTATCAGGCGCTGCGGCCGTTCCAGGGCGCCCCCAGACCGCTCCGAGAGCGTCGTGCAACGCCCTGGGACGATTTTTCCTGGTCCTATAGCCCTGGCAGGCACCGTGCTACCGGAAGGAACGCCGAAGAGGGAACGAGGAGGGGGCCTTTCCGGGCCGCGGCGAGCCTCGGCCACGACGAGGTTCCCCGACCTGGATCCGAGGAGCGGCCCGAACACCGGAGCCCCGCCCGAGCCCGGAGGGGCCCCCGCCCCCAAACGCTCTCCCGCGTCTCGACGGCGGGCCCATGGGCCCTTGCGGGCCCTTGCGGTCCGGACCGCGGGGCCCATGGCCTGACGGTCCGGACCGCGGGGCCCATGGCCTGCGGTCGAGACGCTGAGCCCCACTGGCCGGGGCTGTGAGGAGGAGGAGGAGGAGGAGGAGGAGGAGGAGGAGGAGGAGGAGGAGGAGGGGGAGGAGGAGGAGGAGGGAGGAGCGGGGGAGGGTGAGGGGGACGAGAAGGAGGAGGAGGAGGAGGAGGAGGAGGAGGAGGAGGAGGAGGAGGAGCCCTGGGCCAGTGGGGCTCAGCGTCTCGACTGCTGGGGCCGCTGGCCTGACAGCCCCAGGGCCACGCTGGTTCAGGGCCAGCCCCGCTCGTCCAGCGTGTGCCTCGAACCATGCGTGCCCAACGGGGTGGGGCACCCAAGCCCCGACCAGCGAGGGGTGGAGGCGATTGGGTCTCGATTCAGGTCGGGCATGTCCCCCTACAGGAGGATTTGGGATGCAAAATTAACAATGCCCCAACTAGATTCAAACATTATCACAGACAAATACTCAAACAATCGTCCCCAGACTATTTTTTATAAGCACGTAGAGGGACAAGCCCGACTTAAGACTCGAGGCCATCCCCAGCATCCGGGCGTCGCCTTTTGATATCGCAGCGTCGACTTCTAGACCTGTTCCCCCCGGGACTGTCTTTGCCAACAGCCCCCGTGCCGTTGATAGCAAGGCGCCCCCCACGCCGACCCTTGCCGAGCACCTCCTGCGCCGCACCATCTTCACCACGCGCGAGGCCTGTCTGGGAACTCCCCCCCGACCAAACGAACGAAAACAGCCGCGCCCAGGCGGCGCATTGGCGTTGTGTGCACCTCTCGGTCTGTGCGCGTCATCCTTGCGCAGGGGCCATGCTCACCTTCTCTGCGTCGTTCCCACCTTAACGCGTGATTCCCAGAGGGAGAGGAGGAGGAAGAGGAGGAGGAGGAGGAGGAGGAGGAGGAGGACGACGAGGAGGAGGAGGAGGAGGAGGAGGAGGAGCAATGTGGGAAGGAGGGGAGGAGGAGGGAGGAGGAGGAGGAGGAGGAGGAGGAGGAGGAGACACTGAAATGGAAGGGGATCCTCGAAGGGAATCCCCGGGGGGGGGAACTCCCCCCGCTGCCGCTGAACTGTCTTGGCCCCTCCCGCTCGGCCTGCCCTCGCGCCCGCGCGCTCGCTCGGGCCCGCGGTCCCTGTGCAGCCCAGCAGCGGCTGCTGGCTCTTCGCCTGCGGCGGCGGGGAGGCGGGGAGGGAGGACGGGCCTGTGCGGCGTAAGGCGGAGCTGGGACCTGGACGACATCGTAACAGGAAAATTTGGATCTCTGAGATCTGGCGGTTCTGGAGGATGTGTCGGGCGCCGCGGCTCTTCCAGAGATGGGTCTGTGCGGCGTGAGACGGAACAGGGACCTGGACGACATCTTACCGTCCAGAATCGGACCTCTGAGACCTGGCGATTCTGGAAGATGTATCGGGCGCCGCGGCTCTTCCAGAGCGCTGCTGAACGCGTGGAGATTGTTTCGCTTTGGAGCGAATTATCCTTGTCGTGGCCCTGCCCGCTGCTCGACGGCGGAAAGGACCCAGACATCCGAGGTCTTGATTCTTCCAATGAGGGGTCCCTGGCGGCGTCCCCGGGAGTGACGGCCTTGCCCCTTGGGCCGGCTTTCAGCCCGAGATGTTTTTGTTGATGGCCCAGGGGACCGGCTAGGGCCCCCAAGGGGCCGAAGACTACCGTAAACCTTCACAATTGTGATGTGCGCACGGCGCGAGCACGTGGCGGGTGCCGAACCCCAAAATGTTTCCGCCTTTTGGGGGTGCACTTGCCACTTCCACCCGCCTTCCGCCGGCCTTCTGCCACCGGAGGTAGCCTCGTGTGACTTCCGCCCGCCTCCGCCGACCTTCCGCCGCCTTCCGCCGAGGAAGGGATGGCAGCTCCCTCGGCCCTGGAGGCGAGGCCCTGCCTGGACTGCCTCGTGTCTGGGGAGGGGCCCGGGCCGCCCCACTCCTGGAGCCCCTCTCCCTGCCTGGGCCCCGCACACGGGGGGCTCCGTCGCTCATTCTGGCGCGCGGCCCGCGCATTCCGACATGGGGGGTGCTCGTGGGAGAGAAGGAGGGAGGGGGGTCTGTCGGCAAGAGGGAGGGGAGGAGGAGGAGAGGGGAGGAGGAGGAGGAGCGCGAGTAGCCTGGAAGGGGAGGAGGAGGAGGAGGAGGAGGAGGAGGAGGAGGAGGAGGAGGAGGAGGAGGAGGAGGAGGAGGAGGAGGAGGGGGTGCAGGAGGCGAAGGCTGAAGGGAGGGCGGGTGGGGCGAGGGAGGGGGAGGAGGACGGCGACGGGGACAAGGACAGATATGAGGACAAGGACAAGAACTGGAACGCGTCCGCTGCGACGGCCGCGCCCCCGAGGACCGCCCCCTCCCCCCGCGCGTCTTGCGGAGGCGCGGGGGGCAGTGGCGGCAGGGCTGCGAACCGCCGCCGCTCAGAGGGCCGCGTCCCTGAGGGCCGTCCTCCCTCCCCGCGCGTCTGGCTGAGGCGCGGGGGGCCATGCTGAGTCCTCCTAGGCGATCGCGATCCACCTCCGAGATCCTCAGCGCCGCGCGTCGGGCCCCCCGCGGCGCAAGCCATGGGCGCCCGCCGCGACGCGCCTCCCAAGGATGGTGGCAGTACTCTGCTGCGGCCTTTGCTTCGTCGTCATCCTCCTTCTCGCGGATTTGTAGGGACCGCGCCCCTGGGGGCCGCTCCTTCTCCCCGCGCGTCTGGTGGAGGCGCGGGGAGCTGCGGGGTCGGGTTCGCGCTCTGGCGCGCAATCGATCCAACACCGACACCCTCGGCGGCCCGAGGCGGGCCCCCGCGGCGGCCGCCGGAGACGCCCCAAGCGACACGCCTTCGAAGGAGGGCGGCAATACCAGTCGTATTGCTGTCGCATCTCAGCTCGCCGATGTCGTCTTGGTACTGTGCATGCTTGGTGTTCTCGATGGGGACGGTCGTCATGGGCGGGCGCGGTTCTGCGCGCTGGCCTCCGCCAGCCGACCCCCCTGGCCGACGCGAGGAGTGGCCGTCCTCCCCCTCGGCCCCATTGCTCGCCGCGGTTCGACCCCTGGGGTGGGCATCGTAGTCTCTGTCATGCCCGCAAGTATGCGGCGACGTTGCGCCTCGCAGTGCGAGTACTTTTGACGAGGCACCCTGGCAAAACGATGGCGACGCGCCAACCAGGTCGGCACTCACATCCTGCCCCTGGTGAGACGGTGCGGCGCGTGCCTGTTGGCTCTCCTTCAAGTCGCTGTTGTCGTCGTCGCGCAGGCTGCGGTTGGGCGACTGGCGTTGGCAAGACGTGGGCGACTGATCGCGAGCAGGTCGGCGCTCGCAACTGCCCTCGGCTGAAGGGATGTGGCGCGTGCCTGCTGGCTGTTTTCCGAGCCGTTCTTGAATCCGGTAGATCCTCCTTCCTTCCCCGCCTCGTTGAGCCAGTGGCGTAGTCTGTATGTGATGTTGCTCTGTCCACGTCGTGTCTTGTATAGTTTCTCTATTTTGTCCGAGATGTACTCCGTCGTCGTGGCTCCACATAGCCTGCGGAACCATCTGGCTTCAACTTTGGGCAGTACAAGAGTGTGGTTTGGGTCTGCTGCTGCGCCGTGCCGCGCGACTTCAGTGCCGCGTCTTGGTGGATGTCCCGTGCATCCCTCTTTGAACAATTCCTTCGCGGCTTCAAAGTTGGTGTCTTTGCCCACTCTTTGCAGGCAGCACTTGCATTGCCACCCTTGCCGCGTCCTGTCCTCGTCAAATCGCGCGTGGTTGGTCGTCGTCTCCCTCCTTCCGACTGGCCGGGCCCTTCTGTGAAATGGTCCCGTCGGCGTCGTTGTTGCGTCCTCCTTTGTCGCTTAATTTCGAGTCTGGCTTCGCGTGCTTCTGTTTCTCAGGGCGGTCGTCGATCGATGGCGTCGACTGTTGCCGCTGCTATTCTGCGCCGAACAAGTGCAGTTGTAGCGTTGACCCATTCCTGGCATGCCATCTGTGCGTCGTCAATGTCGTGCTCTCTTGCTGCTGTCTCCGCTAGCATATCCACTTGTTCGTTGCCGTGCCACGCATGTAGTGGAAATCCTCGCGCTTGTGCCTCCTTCTACTTCAGGTGGCCGTGGATATGGTAGACTTCGACTTCTTCGTCGCCCCTGGGGGCGTGCGCTGAGCTCCCTGCCGGTAAGCACCCGGCGCCCAGAGGTCGCCGTTGGCGCCCGCTTCGCCGTCTCGCATGTATTGTTTGTTTCGCCATCTTTTGAGCGCCAGCCCACTGTCTGTCCAATATCGTAGTGGCCCAGCTGTGTGTCTTAGGCAATCCAGTAGCACCCAGAGCTCTGCATTGTTGCTGGTCTGTCGTCTGCGTGGTAATTGGCCACAGCGTGCTCCAACGATCTGGAAGATGTCTGTGCTGCCAATTGAGGCTGGCCGTGCCCGGGCCCGGCCGCGTCGTCGGCGTTGTCGGTCCGCGCTGCGCTTGCCACCTGAGCCATCGCCACATGCAACAATAGGGCGGTCATCTGGGGGCTGGATGCGGTCAGCGTGGATCATCTCTCCTATTTTGTTGGCCATCTTTGGCGTAGTGCATTCTGGCGGCACCGACCACGCGCGCGGCGCACTACCTCGAAGCCTAGATACAGGCGCGTCGCCGTGACCCGCCGCCGCTTGTGTGCGTGGCCTTTCCGTGTTCTCGAACGTTGGGTCGTCGCTCTTGCAACGGCGTCGTTCCCATTTTCTGTGGTTGTCGCTGTCCGTGGATCCACATTCGCACGCATCACATCCGTGTCCACATGCATCCTTCTTCCGCGCCCTGGTCCATGTCCCTGCGCAAGCCGCCGCAAGAAGACCAGCATATGCTCGATGTGTGCCTTGTTTGCGGAGCCATTGTAGGTGTCTTTTCTCATGTCCGTCGCGTCCGCTCCGTGCTCCAGGCCTTTCCCACTGCAGTGCTCTGCGGCCGCTTGCCACAGCCTGAGCCGTGCGTCTGCTGTGGCGGCGTCCAGGATGTCTGCGCGATCGCCTAAATTATCCGTTCTGTGGGAATTTCCAGACGTTCTTGTCGTGGTCGGTCCAATGCCCTGGCCCTCTTGAGTCCCAGCCCAGTTCCCAGGGCGCAAGTATTATGGCTGCTATAGGACATCTTCGTCGGGCCCATCTTCTGTTGGCTGGTACTTTGAGCATTCAGACACAGGTATTTGGCAATGTTCGTCTTATCTGGGCTCTCAGTAGATCTGGGCCGCGACCCCAGCGTCTGAACCAATAGGCGAAGTGTGCTTTGGCTACGGTGTAGGCTGGGTCGGCGCCTTCCAAGTCCAGGTACGTGCCAAAAGCATCTTCCAGGCCATGGGCTCCGTAGAGCCCGCGCGCCGCTGCGTCTCGCATGTGGCAGCGGGGCGGGGGCCAAGCCGTGGAATGCCGTGCAGTCCTTGAGCGAGGTCATGACGCCTTGCTGGGGGACCTTCGTCTTGGTTCTGAACATCTTCAGCTCCCTGCCCGCTGCTCCGAGTCTGTGTCGTGCCGCTTTGGGTAAGTTGGCGAGTCTCGGTCGCCTGGTTGTGCCGCTTGCTGCTCAAACCGCTCCGAGGTCTCTTCCCTCTGTGCCAGCTTTGAAGGACATTCCTCGGAGCTGCAGTTGCTTGTGGATCTGCTTGGTGTCGATGTAGTGGGTCGACATGAGGGTGGTTTTGTCCGCCAGCTTGAGTCCTTGCTCTTCTAAAGCTAGGAAGAGCTGTTGGGCGGCGCTGACTGTGGCTGGCAAGATTTGGCCCCTGCTGCCAACGATGCGCATGCTGATGTGCTCGAGGCATGGGTCGCGGCAGTTGGCTCGTGCTCGTGAGCCTGGCCATGGCTGCGTACACCGTGGTACGTGCTATGCTCTTTCCATGTCGTGACCAAACTAGGATGGAGCGATCAACATACATGGGGAGTGAGCATGGCCCCTGTCGGCATAATACTCTTGTGGCGGCAAGTTGCAACAGTATCAAGTACAACTGCCGCGCAATGAACTGCATGTGCTGGGCTGTTGGCACCGTCTTGTCGACCCCGAGGCCGTCGTGGAACTCTCCGGCGCCTGCCGGCAACATAGACTCGGCCATATCGAGCGCGTTGGCGCATTCGCCTGTGTCGGGGCACCTGGGTTCCCCCCAGGCAACTGTTGCCCGCGATGGCCGCGTTTCGTTTCCTATCGCGTGTCTTTGCCCAGCGTCGCACATGGTCTCGGTGTAACAGTTCCCAACAGCGAATTCGTTGAGGTAGCAAGGCCAGGGATCGATCTTCCTTCGTGGGCTTGGGATTGATCAGAACGACTGGTAGCAGTAGTTGCCATGGCCACATGAGGTGTTGCTCGCATAAGTTGAAAAGGTCGAGCACTGCTTGTCGATATGACCGAGGTCGCCGCCGCATGTCGATGCACCGTATCATGTCTACTCCGTCGCCTTTGCCAGGTTCTCCCTTCAGGCATGTGTCGAGGCCGTCCCCAGCTCATGGCAGGGGGCAGTGGCTCGTCCTCCGCTCTCGCCTTGAGCACGGCCAGGGCGTGGGCGCGTTCGTGGCGCGGTACTTCTGGGCTGCAGGGCGATATGTTGCTGAAGTCGATAGTTTTGGCGCCGATGATGTCCTTGGGCCTGCGTAGCACATGGTCGCCACTGGCCACCTCTTGTTCTCGTCGTGGCGGTGGAGTCGTGATCTTGCACGGCGTGCCCGTCGTCTTCATGGCCGTGGCGAGCCATGCACAATGCTCTCGGTTGCTTTGGTGCAAGTCGCGTCGCAAAGCTTTCCTCCTCCCCTCCTCCGCTTGAGTCGCCATGCCTCTTGAGGCTGCCTGCGGGACTTCGTTCAGCTGGGTGGGCCATTGTAGCTGTGGGCCGCGGTGGAAGCGGGCTGCGTCGCTCGCCTGCTTCTCGAGAGGGGGGGGGGGGGGGGCCCCTTCTCGCGCCAATTTTCCCCCTGCTGCGCGTAGGTCTTGTTGCTGTCAATGTCCGCGCCTTCTTTGCTGGAGCTTGACCGACGTCGAAATTGCATTCTCTGTCCTGCTCCACCAAATCACTCGGTGCGTCGCGAATCGTATCCGTCGTTTACCTATATATTGCACCTCTTCTCGCTGCCTTCTCCTCGTCCTCTGAAGCGCCCGCGGTCTTCAAGAGGTAGATCGTATGCGATGCAGCAGAGGGTCTCCAGCGCGCTGGCGAATTGGCGGCAGCACTTGCCGATGCGTTCCGCTTGCGCAGGGTCAGCACGACGCGCGGCGCACTTCCTTATGCGCGCAGGGGCTTGCCGAGAGGCGCCGCGGAACAGCGGCGCCGCCGCGTATCATGGCATAAATTCCCTCGGCAAGCGTCGAGGTCCGATCTGCAAATGGTTGCTGTCTTCCATCCCTTCGACAGGTCGTGCAGTCCAAGGCGTCGGTTTCTGAAGTCAGGTCGTTGGGAGTGGAGTCGAGGTCATTGCGGTCTGCCTGCGCCCATTAAGCGTCGGGGCCGCGCTGCATCTCTCGTCCAGGTCGCGCATGCAATGCGACGGTCTGTGGTTGGCGCGTGGTCATGCAGGTAGTCCATGTCTTCGTCGTCGAAGGTGTCCGCCTCTGCGAAGTCCATCGTGCTGTGCCTGTAGACCGCTGGCGTGGTCAGGCTGGCCAGGTCTCTACTCTCCTCTATGCTCCCGTGTAGATGAGGTGGATGGGGTCTCGACCTGGCTGCCTGAGTTCGTCGTGTCGCTGGTGGGGTAGTAGTTCCATCCACGCGCGCACAATGCTTCCCATCTCTCCGCATCCGCTGTCAAGGTGGTGGGGTTCGGCGTGCGCGTCTGGGTCGGGCGTGGGCTTGGGTTGCCTCTTTTTGCTGCGCTGTTGTCCGGGTTTGCCATCTGCCGCTGAGATAGTGGCCGAGGGAGCGCGCTCGGCGCGTTCAGCTTCCAGCATTCGTTGGCGTCGAGGTCTGCTGCAACCGCAATAGCTAATCCAATGTGTCGCTTCCAGGGCCCATCGTGGACTGGTTGCGCGCCTCGCGCCATTGCCCGCCCAGCTTCGTTGACCAGCGCTAAGTCGACGCTGGCTGGTCTGCTGCCCCCCAGGAAGCACGTGCGCTGGTCATCGGGCTAGCTCACGGCGCTAGCAGCGCCGCGGGCTTCGGGCCATCCTGTCCTCTCGAACTCGCTGCACGATGCGTTGAAATCTCCGCAGACGACCCAGGGCGTCTTGACGGTTTGGAGGAAAGCCACGATCGCCGTCAACTTCCCGGCGTCGAATCCGCTCGCGACGGCGAAGCCCGGGCGGAGGTGTGGAGAGGTAGCGGGGAGCGTGGTGTCGCGCACGCGCGTGGTGACTGGTGTCCAGTTACACATTCCGATGCCATCTGGTACCCGTCGAGCGCCTGATGTTTTTGCGCTCGAGACTACTCTCGGACTTCCCCCGCGGCGAAATGAAGTAGCTTTGAGATGGCCCTTCGTCAGAACAGCCGCGCCCCCGCAGGTGCCGCTCTCGCCGCGCTCGCCCGCCCTTGCCGCCGTGGACGCTGCTGAGATGCCCGCCTCCTGTAGCGCGTGCTCAGTGGCGTCGAGGAGGCGCTGGCCATGGTGGGTCTCCTGCATCGCGCGGACATCGCGCTTTTGTCGCGCGCCGTCGCGCCGCAAGCAGCTCAAGGCAGCGGGTCCCCAGGTCGTGACGTTGGCGCTACAGATGCGGCGGCCGCGGCGGGGATCGTCGTCAAACTTCCCCCCCCCCCACCCCGCCTTGACCTCCAGCGTTTTGCTGGGGCCTCTGAGGTCGAGGCTGCCGCTGCGCATAGTTGCTGAAGGTGTGCCCCCGCTGCCTTTGCCTCGCCCTGACTCTGGGGCTCGACCTCGTCGCCCTGTGCAGGCGTCACCCTCTGGGAGGAGATCGTCGAGCCCGTCGTGGTGCCATCCTGCGCCGCATCCTCTGCTTTCCTTTTCTTGTGCGCCTGGCTGATCTGCGCGCGCTCTGCTTCCGCCTGCTTCTTTGCCGCGACGATGTGCTCTTTGAGCTGGCATGCGAACGTCCTTGCGTTCAGCTGCAGCTGGGCGAGCACCTGCTTCTTGGCCTCCTCGACCACCTTGCGGCCCTCCGCGCCCATGTCTTCGTCGCAAGCGAACCCCTGCTCGACCTCTGCGGTCTGCGCTTCACTGGGCGACAGCAAGTCCGTGTCCGTATCCAGCAGCTGCTCGAAGATGCTCTTCTGTTTTTTTTTCCTTCGGCTTGTACTCCTGCTGGGTCGCCTCAGTATGATTCTCCGCCGCGAGGGCTGCGCCTACTCGCTCACGTAGTTATTCAAGTTCTCACTCCGCCTTCTTCTCCGCGGTGTCCTTCTGCTCGAAGGCCCACCTGTACTTCTTGTTGGTGTCCTCGAGCTCGCTGGCGGCTTCGGCTAGTCTGGCCGCGCGCGATCTGACTGGTGTGATCGGCGTCTCCTTCAGCGCACTTGGCGCACCTTCCAAATGCTTCGCGATGGCGTCACCGTCTGCCAGCTGCAGCGACCCTATGGAGCCCGTGACAGTCTGCAGCGCGCTGGCTAGCTTGGCCATTCCAGTATCACCACCATTGCCCTTGCCGTTGCCATTACCCTTGCCGGTGCCGTTGTCCTTGTTGCTGCCCTTGCCCGCCTTGCCCACTGGGTCGGTCTACCACCTACCACCACTAGCACCACCTGCTTGTCGCTTGGGCCTCGCAACTCTGCATCCGCATTTTCACCAGTAGTCCATCTTCTCGAGCTGTGTGCACCACCACAATGCCCTGCAATGCTTGCAAGTAGTCCAGGTGGATGGCGCCTCGCTGCCGTGGTGCATCTTGAGGATGTGCTCGGCCCTGACGTGTCGCAGGTAGTGCATGGCTGCTGTCCTCTGCCGCCGCAAGCGGCGGTGCCAGGCAGGTGAGTTGCTCCTCCGCTCTCGCCCCGTCTCTTGGGCAGGGGGGTCCTCGATTGCGGGCGGCCGCACCCGAGCCCGAGGAGGAGGAGGAGGAGGAGCAGGAACAGGAGGAGGACGAAGAGAATGAAGGAGGACCTCCGAACTTTCGGAGGCTCCCCAGAAGCCCCCAGAAACGTCTGCGACTCCAGGCCTGGAGCTGCCTGGAATGATCACAAAGAACTTCCATGAAGTGCTCTCTGGAAGTCTCCAGAGGAAATCTCTGGCCGAATCCCGCGCCACCCAAAGAGGTCGCGTTTCGCGCCGCGCGCCGTGCGAGGCCAGAAAGCCGCCCAAAACCAACGAAAACGGTCGAAAACCTCGTACATCGAACTGTCGGTACGACCGCAACAACCTCGATTAGTTTTCAGAGCCCCCCCTACACATAATGGGAAATAGTTATCTTTTCGACGCCCTTATTGACAGACTCTGGTCCCACCAATAATGGAACATGTTGGTTTCTCCGCGGCACCCACCGCACAACGACGACGAAGGCGACGAATTACGACTGCGATTGCGACAACGACCACGATATGACTACGGCTACAGCTACGACTACGACTACGAGTAGTAGATTGTGAGGAACGCCTTCGGAGAAAAATATGCCGATGTGGATTGCAATCCTTTTACAAACGTGTTCAAACTTCCTCTGCCTTGCAGGGTAGCCCAGAGATGATGATTCGCTGGAAGAAAAAACCCTACAACATGATCGATCGCGACGAACATGACTGGGAACATGATCTCTGCCGCGACTACGACGGCGACGACGACGTTACGACTACAATCACGACTACAATCACGTTTACAACCACGACCACAATCACGACTACAACCACAACCACTGATTCCTACTGCCATCCCCATGGGAAGATGCTCACTAATCCGCTCGCGTGTAGGGAAACCGAAAATGGAGATCCCTTGGAGACTGCCCATTTTGAACAGGGCTCGCTGTCGGCGTCGCCGCAGGCGTGGTTCAAGGGAGACAGCAAACCGCCTGCCCAACAACGGCCGCTGTCGGTTTTGGGCAACGATTACTGTTGGGCACCATGCCGATGGTTTCCGCAACCCAATCCGGGCATCCAGAAGATCGAGCCTACCGCGGGAGGGGCCCTCGGAGGGAGGGGGTTAGGCGCCCACAGGCACAGAGGGGGCAGTGCACGAGCTGAAGAGTGCTCTGCGCTCTCATTTGGCTTTCGCTGTCCTTCGTCACGTCCTCGTGCTGGCCTTTGCCGCGCAAGACGAGGTCGAGACGAGAACGGTCCACGAGAGTCGCCAGCACACCGTTCGGCTCTCTCGCCCTGCCCCGGGGGCAGGGCACGAGCTGAGCAGGGCCCTCCGCTCTCGCTCTGCTGTCGCTGCTCCCTCGCTCTGCCCCGCTTGCTCTTTGCTGTTTTTCCCCCACCTCTCCGAGCCCGCTGCGGGCGCCCAGGGCCACTGCCAGGGGGCCACTGCCAGAGGGGTCCCAGGAGCCGCCGCTGCCTCGCGAGGCCCGGCCTCGGGCGCGCGGGAAGGCCCGCCGCCGGCCGCCGCCAGCCAGCGCCAGGAGGATCGGGACACCGCCAGCGGGGCCCTGCTGGTCAGCCGGGGCAGCGGCGCACCGTGGAGAACCCCAGGCGTGGTCGCGTGGCTGAAAAGCCGCAGCGGGACATGCTCTGGCAAGCTTCGGGGCCCGCGGGCCATCGCTGGGCCCCCAGACCGTCAGGCACCGACAAGGGGAAACAAATCGACCCTGGGGAGAGGTGCGGGCACTTCCGGGGAACCCGCAGTAAACAGGAATCAAGCTGTCGGAGGCATGGGACAGGAGCCGTGGGTCCAACAAGCCCCCTGCATTCCTCGATTCCTCCGAGCGGGTGCGGCAACCTCCTGGTGTACGATGCCATGGTCTCTGGGGTCCTGGCCCCAGCCCCCAGCCCCGACGTCGTGTTTTTGCTCGCAGCGTGGACCCGCAGAGGTCCTCAACTTTTGACCGGGACCAGCTCTTCACCCCGAGCAGTTGTTCGGACGGCCCCAGGGCCCAGCGAGGGCCTCCAAGGGCCGACACTCTTCTCCTCCTCCTCCTCCTCCTCCTCCTCCTCCTCCTCCTCCTCCTAGCCTCCCTCCTCCTCCTCCTCATCCTCCGCCT